GGCACGTGCCACCACGCCCAGCTAATTTTTGTATTTTTAGTAGAGATGGGGTTTCACCATCTTGGCCAGGATGGTCTCGATCTCTTGACCTCGTGATCCGCCCACCTCGGCCTCCCAAAGTGCTGGGATTACAGGCATGAGCCACTGTGCTGGGACTTTTTTTTACATTTTAAGTAGTTTCACATTTTAAGATCAAAAGACGGATATTTCATGACAAGTAAAAATTATATGAACTCATAATTGTATGAATTTTATGAATTCAAATTTCAGTATTCATAAAGTTTTATTGAACTACAGTCACATTCATTTATTTACGTTTTATTGATGGCTGCTTTTTTGCTACAAAGGCAAACTGGAGAATGCACATGGCCTGCAAAGTCAAAGTATTTACTATCTGGTCCTTTACAAAGTTTGCCAACCTTATTTTAGAGACACTACTGTCTTTCCTTTCTCAAAACCAGGCATTGAGCCTTCTGGTGTTTAGAGAACAGAAGCTGCAGCTGTGGCCGTGCCACTAGTTAGTAATCTTAGTAATGAACTAGATTCCCTCACTGGCTTGTACCAGCTCCTCATTCTCCTGGGAAAACTCTCCAACGCCGGCCCACTGTGTTCCAACAACATACAAGCTCTTAAACATTTGTCTGCCTACTGGAGTGTGCCTTCTCTTCAGGTAGGAATAAAGATGTATGGCTGTCCACCCCTACCCCCGCACTCCTTTCCAAAGACAAATAGCAGGTAACTGATCTAAAGAATAAACAGTTGTGTAGTGCTTAGAACGTGACAGACTAATTTAATTCTCATTGCAACCCTATGAGGCTGCACTACTATCATCACCATCCTCATTTTACAGAGGAGGAATCAGGCACAGAGAGACTGAGCCACCTGTTCCTTGTCATGCCTAGTGGTGCCTCCCAGCGGTGGAGGCAGCACTGGAATCCGTGCCGTCAAGCTCCGCGGACTGAGTGACAAGGACACGCCAGTTAAAAACAGGTTTCCCGTAAGGCCGATCGAAGCACGGATCAGAGCACCTGCCCGGGCCACACATCCCTCCTGGAGCACAGCAAGTGCCCCCTAAATTACTCGAGTGAGCATCTCTTCCCGGCAGGAGAGGCAGGGTAGCCAAAGGGCAGCCGAGCTGGCCTGGGAGAGGCGTAGGGCGGAGCGAGAGTGTAGTGACACTCCCTAGGGCGGAGCCCCAGCCCAGGGCCCCCGAGACCCAGAGACTCCCGCCTCCAGCCTCCTCTAGGCCGCCGGCCGCGAAGCGCTGAGTCACTGTAAGGCGACTGGACCTGCACTCTCTTAACCTGCCCTCCCTGCAGTCGCTCCCGGAGACTCTCAGCGTCCCAGCCGCCGCTAAGGCTCCGGGTGCCGCTACTGCTGCGTGAGTACCTGGGGCTTCCGCAGGGGTCCACTAGATGGGGGAATGCTGGCAATCAGTTTGCAAAATCCTGCCTTCCGCAAGCCTCTTTAGACTCCTGGGGGAAATAACAAGAGATACTTAAATTGTACTACGAAATTTGATGAAAGTAGTAGACGGCTTTTCTTTCTGCAAAGCACCTCATCAGTTGTTTACATGCATACAATTAATTGCAGGAGTCTGGAAGGACCCAGGCATAATCTGGATGGGGATAAACATACTTTCTGGTTGCTTTGATGTAGATGATAACCGACCTGTACTGCTTTGAGTATTAAGCTCATTTCTGCACCCTACATTTCCATCACCCAATATTTATTGATTACTATTCAGGGAGGATACATTTTAGGATAGGCCTTAACTAAGCGGAGGGTATTGTGGAGTAGAGCCTTTCTGAATAACAGCAGCTAACATTCTCATAGCACTAACTAACTGCACCCCTTTGAGGTAGGCAGTCTTATCTTCCATTTTACAGATAAGAAAACTGAGCCACAGAGAACTTCAGGTCACACAGCTGTTATGTGGTGAACCTGAGATGCAAACTTAGGCTGTCTGGTTCCACAGTCTGCTTTTTGCCAAACCACCTCTCTTGGTTTCAGTAGGAATCTTTGAAGGAATTGAGTGTATTTCACCTGAAGAAAAGATTTAAGGGATTGGGGGTACTGTTTGAAAACACTTGAAGAGGAAAAGACATTGATCATATTCCGTCTAGGATAGTCCATTACTTAGAACTTAGACCTCCTAAAGAGGAAAACACTTTCAAATAATAAACTCTGGCTATAGCTAAGTCCTGAAATACGGCATACATTGCCAAAAGCAGCTGGCCCATGACTTGCCTATGCTCTAGAAGACCTCACGAGTAAGTGGAAAGATTTCTTGCCCAAAATATTGGCCCTGAATTTTCAGAAATAGATGGGTCCTTGAATTAAATGACCCTCAAAGATCCCTTTTAATGCAAAGATCTTCAGCATGTTCTGGTAAGAGTCAGGGACCTCTTGGTTTTCCTCCTTATTCCCCAAGGCACCACGCAAACCTCCCATCTGTCGGCCTTGTTGGTAGCAACTACCTCATGGGTGCTACCAGTGAGGCTGACAGATGAGTGGCACTGGGGAGGGGGTGGGGAGATCGACATAATTTGGTGAAGTAAAAAAGATAAAGTGTTCATTGGAGGTTTTAGTTAAGTGCCCAACAGAGCTGCTAAAGTCATACTTAACAATGGAGATAAGTTCAGAGAAATGCATCGTTAGGTGATTTTGTCATCGTGCAAACATCTTAGAGTTCACTTATACAAACCTAGATGGTATAACCGAGGTGTGTAGTAGATTATATGGTATAGCCTATTGCTCCTAGGCTACAAACCCATACAACATGTTCCTGTACTGAACACTTAGGCACTTGCAACACAATGGTGATTATTTGTGTATCTAAACATAGAAAAGATACAGTAAAAATTTGGCATTATAATCTTGTGGGACTACTGTCATACATACAGTCCATATATTGTTGACTATGTAATGTTGAGTTAGAAATGTCATTATGCAGCAGGCACATGACTGTATTGCTAACCTTTGCACAAGATGACTATAGGATTACATGAGATAATTGTAAATAATTGATGGGGTACTGGGCACTTAGTAGGTATGCATACGTGTTCACTCATCATGGTTGTTTTAAATCACCTAACCCAGGCCCTGCACATAGTAAGACATCAACAAATTGTGGCTGCTACTATTTTGTGCATCTAATCTTAATAGCATTTATTTTGTAGCCCTGGGATATCCTCTCCTTTATGACTTCTTTTTTTGTTGTCCTTCCTTTTTAGCCCTCCATCCTCTACAGCTCAGCATCAGCATATTCTCTTCTTGGACCCTGATATGGGTTCTTCCAAGAAAGTTACTCTCTCAGTGCTCAGCCGGGAGCAGTCGGAAGGGGTCGGAGCGAGGGTCCGCAGAAGCATTGGCCGACCGGAGGTATGCTAATTGGGTGGCCACTCTTTCTTTGCAGAAGGGACTGGTGGAATGTTGATGGGGATTCGGTAAGAGGGTGCGTAAGTGCAAACTTCAAAGTTTGCAGTCGGGGACCCCATGCGAACCAGCCCCAGCCCAAAGGGGATTTCTGTAACGTGAATACAGAGGTGATGGGCAGAAGGTTCAGATGAGCTTCAGAAAGTGTCTCTGCATCTCCCTGCACACTGGCGTGCCACCCTGGGCTGACCTGTTATCTGCTTCAGTATGCATATCGCCAAACATGCCCACCCCACAGCGTCTATGTGCCCACACTTCAAAGCACCAGGGAGTAACTGTTTCTTAATTCCAAATTCCCAGGAGAGAGAATCTGATTGGTTCAGCATAGGTCAGGGCTTCACTCCTGGCCAATCTGCCATTGCCAAGGATTTGGATTCATAGAGAGACTGCTGGGACCCAACTCTGTAGACATCTGGTGAGGGACAGGTATAGATGGGTCTAGCTCTCAGAGAAGGTGATTATAGATTAGGTAGATGTCTTTCAACTTTAGAGAATGTTTTCATTTGAATATGGGAAATTTGGGATTTATGGGGGAAATAAGTCTTATATGCACAGAAAGGTAGCAGATAGTGGTCACAGCCCAGGGAATACAGCCCCTAGCACCACATCAGATCCCCAAAACATTTTCTAATAGAAGAAATATGTTACAGAGATGAATTCCATTTCGAAAAGTGGGGCTGCTTTGTCCCTCTTCTTAAACTCTACTACTTTTCATACTACGTCGTCGCTCAACCTAAGGTTTAACTGGGTTACTTTCTCAACTTTTTAATCTTTGAAAGATATTTATAGGGTTTTTAAAAACTCCTGGCCTTCCTCAGTGAGTGCTGACCTACATTGTTGATGGGTTCAATTTTTAAAAAATTATTTATGTTTTAAAATTTTGTATCCTTTGACCAACATCTCTCCTTCCATATCCTCCCAACCCCTAGCAGAGGTAACCACCATTCTCTATGCTTCTGTGAGTTTGATTTTTTTCAGATTTCGTATATGAGTGAGATCATGCAGTAATTGTCTTTCTGTGCTTGGCTTATTTCACCTAGCATAATGTTGATTGGCTATTGAGGCAGAGGAAAAACTGTCAACACAACTCTCCATCAGCCCCATCAGGCCATTTCTCTTTCCAATTAGCTTCCTGTTTACACCTGAATGTCTTTTGAGGTCAATCAAACAGTGTTTTCTGAAGGATACCCTTAAAAAAGATTATTCTAATGGCTAAATGTACAGGGAGTGTTGGGAAGATGCAGATGGAGGTGGTATCATGTTCTACTAGGCTACATCACCAACAGAACAATTGGAAAGAGTGTTGGGGCCCCAAACACACCTGTTAGTAAGCCATTATTGTATATTGAGGGTAGCTAACACTTTAATTAGCCCATCTGTCAGGAACACATCTGCTGAGAATTTCTTTATTGTTTTTGTCCTGTAAATCCCTTTGGAAGTTTGATGAAACCTATCAATTTCTTCTAAAGCTAAGCTTTAAAATATATAACATAAAATATGTAGGATTACTAAAATAAAATATATAGGATTACCAAAGAAAACTTTTATACTGAAACATGGTTAAGAACAGTTTTAAAAACACTTTCATAATCTGGTAATTTTACATTAAGTAACACAATTTGGAGGCAGTTCTAGTATATTTCAATATATCTACTCACAACTGAATGTGATATGAAAATAACTTTGATTTCAATTCGTGAAAAAGTCACAGGTGCTGGTAATTTACTGTGGTGCATTGACTACATTCATAATTGAAGAAGAAGTTAAATTTCAATCTGGAGATGGCAGTGATAGTTGCACAATGTAAATATATTTAATGCAACAAAACTGTTCATGTGAAATGATTAAAATGCTAAATTTTATGTTGTGTATGTTTTACCACAATAAAAAAAAAAAACAGAAAAAAATAGTAGAGCTTAGTGACAATAAAGATGTAATTTTTTTAACAGTCCAAGTTTACAACTCCTCTGAGTTCTATCAGTGGTACCAGGTAAGAGTCCATGGCTGATAAGCTTTAAAGATCCCCATATTTTACTGATTTAGGTCTCCTGTATCCCAGGTATGACTTTACCCTAAGGAAAAATAAATGGATAGGAATCATTCCTAATCCAATCAACCTGGTTTAATTACTATTGAGACAAAGGGTCTATTCTTTTGTTTCCATATAACTGTACATTTTTCATCATGGGATTATATAGAATAATTTTGTGTCCCAATGTTTTTTCATTTAACAATGGTAGCATAAGGACTTCCCAGGTTATTATAAATTCTTCATAAACATCATTTTAATAGTTATGCCATATCCCATGTATAAGCATAGCATTATTCTCTTACTCATAAATCTATTTTTGACCATTTAGACCATTTAGATTGTTGCCACATTTTTTTGCACTCTACAGACTACCAATTTGCCGGAAAGGTAGACTCCCTAGCCCTCCTATAAGCAGAGAATGAAAGCACCTGAGAATGAATAGCAACAATTTACCCTCTGGCACAGAAAAGAGGAAGAAGGAAAGGGCAAAAGGATACATATCTGCTGTCCATCCTCCTCTTATAAGGAATTTTCCTGAAAGTTCCATCCTGCAACTTCTACATTGTAGTTAGATTTAATCATATGACAACAACTAGCTACAGGAGAGGCCACGGACCTAACACAAGTACCACTTAGTACATTGTGGAGTACCTTCTATGTACACAAAATTATTGTAAGTTCAGTGGAGCATCATAAAAAGGCATAGCATTGGCCACATCCCCAAGGAACTATCATTCTTCCAGTGCAAATAAAATGCCAGGCTTTATTATGGGAGTACCACAGGCCTGAGGGGTGGTGGCCACAAGTTTTGATTGGTCTTTTTTTTTTTTTTTCTTTTGAGACAGTCTCACTCTGTCTCCCTTGGCTCGCTGCAACCTCTGCCTCCTTGGTTCAAGCAATTCTAATGCCTCAGCCACCTCGCCTGGCTAATTTTTGTATTTTTAGTAGAGATGGGGTTTTGCCATGTTGGCCAGGCTGGTCTCAAATTCACAGCTTTAAGTGATCCGTCTACCTCGGCCTCCCACAGTGTTAGGATTATAGGCATGAGTCACTGTGCCCAGCCTGATTGGCCTTAAGAGATTAAAAGAAGTAGTTTGTAAGCTGCCACTTGAATTCAGCAGCTAAAGGATTTAGAACTATTTGAACGAAAAGAAATTCTCATGTGGTTTAAAAGCATTAAAAGATTGTCAATTTGATATGTAGAGAGAGAAAGATGTGAATGAATTAGGGAATTAGCGAAAACATTTTAGAAAATCAGAGTTCTTAGATATTGTCTACAGATAAACAGATAACACGTATTCATTTTACATGCTATTGAATCCATTCTAAATGTTTAGAGAATATTAGGAAGTTTGACAGGGACTAATACCCAGTACTGAAAATAGCAATTTAGTACAACAGTCTAATGCAAGATATTCTTACTTTTTGGAGAGGAAGTGTGTCTTACACCTGTCTCCAATTTTCTGGCAAGATAATCAATTCATCCCCCTGACTCTTAATCAGCCCCCTAGCTTTTTCAGTCTCTTCTTGTGCTGGCTTTCTTCCTATGTGTGTTCATATTTCATGGATTGGTGACTAGAGGATTAAATGGGCAATAAATATGACAAATAGTACTGATTTGGTCTGAATCTATGTGTTTTCCCTACTCCAAATTCTTATCTTGAAACCTAACACCCAATGTAATGGTATTAGGAGAGGAGACCTTTGGGAGGTGTTAGGTCATGAGGGCAGAACCCTCAGGAATGGGATTAATGCCCTTATAAATGAGACCCCGGAGAGTTAGCTGGTTCCTTCTACCATGTGGGGACACAGCTAGAAGGCACTAGCTGTGTCTGAACCAGATAGTCGACCCCTCACCAGACACCCAATTTGTTGGCGCCTTAATCTTGGACTTCTTGGCCTCCAGAACTGTGGGAAATAAATTTCTGTTGTTTATAAGCCAGCCAGTTTATGGTATTATGTTATGGCAACTCAACCAGACTAAGACAGAAAATTGGCACTGAAATTGGGCCTATTCTTCCGTTGTCTTGAACAATAGGTCTTGGTTTCTGTTTTGATGTCTGACTAAGCTCCTTATGAAATGGTCATTTGGCCACACCCTCGGTGTTTTCTCCTGAACATGTTTCTCATTCTTTATAATACGGATAGGCTGAAGATTTTCCAAATCTTTAAGTTCTGCTGCTTCTCTTTTGATTAACAGTTCTCTTTCTCTCTTGCGTTTTACTATGTGCCATCAAGAGAAACCAGGTCCCTCAACATTTTATATACAAATAGCATCAGCTAAACATCCAATTTCATTGCTCACAAGTTCTAACTTCCACAAAACACTAGGATATGAACACAGTTCAGCCAAGTTATTTGCCACTTTATAACAAGGGTAATCTTTCCTTCAGTTTTCAATGGCATGTTCCTCATTTATGTCTGAGATCTCATCAGAATGGCCTTTACTGTCGATATTTCTACCAATGTTTTGTTCAGGATTACTTAGGTATTCTTTAAGAAGATTGAGGCCAGGCATGGTGGCTCACACCTATAATCCTAGCACTTTGGGAGGCCAAGGTGGCTGAATCACTTGAGCTCAGCAGTTCAAGACTGGCCTGTGCAACATGGTGAAAACTCGTCTCTACAAAATATATAAAAATTAACCGGGCATGGTGGCTGGCACCTGTAGTCCCAGCTACTTGGGGTGCTGAGGAGGGTGGATTGCTTGAGCCCGGGAGGCGGAGGTTGCAGTGAGTCAAGATCATGCCACTGCAGTCCAGTCTGGGCAATAGAGTGAGACCCTGTCTCAAAACAAAAACAAAAAAGAAAAGAAAGAAGATTGAGACTCTTTCTACAGCTCCCCTCTTTCCTTTCTGGACCCTCACCAGAATTACTCTTAATGGTTCATTCACAGCAATGTAGGCTTTTGCTAGCATGAATTCAAGACTTCCAGCCTCTGTTGTTTAAGGTAAGCAGTTCCAAAGCTACTTCCAGTTTTAGGTATTCATTACAGCAGTGCTTCAAGCTCTTGATACCAATGAATAACTACTGTTCTGTGGGTGGTGGATGGTGATAAGGGTAGAACTAAAAAGAGAGAACCTTTCTTTTCACAGTTTATTTGACAGCAGGGCATATTTGCTCATATAAAACTCTTTGATACCGAGAAGCAGTATTCCTTTATCTTACCTTTACCCATATTTTAATAGAACCACAACAACACAGAATTTAAAAGTTATCTTAGAGCTCCAAACACTTTGTTTTGTACCTGGGGGAGTGATGTCTCTGATATTTATAGGACTGGTGCAGTATAATGGATACCACCCATCTATGTAGAACCTACAGTGATTCAGGCACTGGACCAGGTGTGCTACATTCATTGTTTTCAATCCTTTTAACCGTCAAAGGTATATATTATCATGTGAGGAGAAAGCAATGTATAATACGGTATGAGAATTCTCAGCCTCTCCTCCTACCAATCCCAGTTCTGTTCCTGGACTTTTAATAAGCTGATATGGATTAATAAATGACAAGACTGAAAGGAAACAAATTTGCTTGGTTGATTTTCACTGGAAAGGGCAGAGAGTTACTGGTGAAAGAGATAAGAGTAAATACAGAAGGTGAGAAGGGAGGAGGAAAAAAGAAAAAAGGTGCCTTCAGATGGTTTGAGGTGATTTGAACAGTTAGAGTGAGAGAAAATGGAATCATGGGAGACAGATATATACATGGAGAGGAGTAAGAGGGATTTTAAACATATCTTTAAATTGAAGCCTCTTTTGGTGTTTTTGAGAGGATTCAATAAACAATTTGAATTTATTTTCAATTACTTTTAAATAGTGGACTGGATGAAACACCAGGTTGAGATAAACTACAAAGTACCCCAGCTTTATATGGGTTGCAGTCCACATTTTCAAATGAAGAAATTGAAACTGGTTAGGTTAAAAAATTTGCAGTAGCTTGTTGACTGTATACATATGTATGTGTGTATAATATATATGTTATGTATATGTGTATGCATATTTTTTCATAGAAAGTTAAAACAAGAAAGATCAAATTGGAGACTGAGACAGTTTCATACTTTTATTTCTAGTGATAAGACAGAGTAATCACTCCGAAATAAATTACTTAAAAATCAATTAGCTGAGCTACCAAGAGGTTGGTGAAACTCTTAGAGCACAAAAACAATAAGAAAGAAAAAATGGAAAATCTGAATAGTTTCATAGCCATAAGGGTAATTGAATAAATATTTTAAAAGTTTAAAACAGAGACAACAGGACCAGAAGATTTCACAGACAAATTTTACAAAATATTTAAGGTGTAAGTAATTCTAATAATGCACAGACTCTCCAGGGGATAAAATCCAAGGAAGTGCTCCTGAAATTACTTCATGAAGCTGACGTTACCTTGCTATCAGGACCACACAAGGACAGCAAGTGAAAGAATAATTACATCACATTAATGAAAATGTTTGCAAGAATCATAGAAAATTAACTAACCAAATACAGCAATGTATTAAAAGATAATATATCATGTCCAAGTTTGGATTACCTGAAGAGAGCAAATTTGGTTTAATGTTAGAAAATCTATTTGTGTATTTTATTAACGTTAAGAGATTAAAGGAGAAAAGAATCATATAAGTATCTCAATACTGTGGAAAAAAACATTCAACAGAATTCAACATCCATTCACTTTTAAAAAACAACAGCTTTGTAAACTAGAAGTAGAAAGGAAACTCTTTAACCTTATGAAGGGAATCTACAAAACACCTGCATTAAACAAGCATATTACCAATGAAACTTTATAAAGCAATCTATGTAAAATCAGGGACAAGTATGTCTACCACCATCATTTCTACTCAAGACTGTTGTAGAGATGCTAGCTTGTTAAAATGCAAGAAAAAGAAAGAAAATATAAGGATTGAAAATGAAAAAAAAATCCCCTGTTATTTGCTAATGGATGTTGGTTGAAATATTACTACCAAATATTCACTCCTTCTCTATAATAGGATTTTACACTCCCATCCATTTTTAGGTACATTACCCATGAGACATATAGGGAGGGATTAAGTGCCCTCCTCTTTGACTTCGGGCCTGGCCGTGTCACATGCTTTGACCAATTGGATGTGTTAATGTGATTGTGAATGGTTGACTTGACTTGCTTTTTGCTCCTGCCCTTGGCTATGGGAACATAATGCCCTCCATAGTGGCCACTGTTTCAACTTGAGTCCCAGAGTGAGAAGACGTCAAAGCCAGCCAGGCCTATAAAAACCCAGAGAAATTGCAGTCTGCCATGGCTTTAATCCAATGCAAGACAAAAACATTCTTTTGTGAACTATAAAGCAAAAGTTTATTGATAAATACACTGGTGATTTGAACATCTACAAAGAAAACCCAAAAGAAGCTACAGATGAATCATTCAAATTAATTAAGAGCTTAGCCGTGTTCAGAAATCGCCTAGCATGTTTCTAATTTCCAACAGAAAACTGTTCAAAATATAATAAATAAATGCTATTTGCAGAATTCCATTAAAAATATAAGTAAGCTAGAAAAATAATTTTTAGATATATGTAAAATCTTTAGGGAGAAAATTATAAATCCTTATTGAAATATGTTTAAAGACCTAAATAAATGGGGATAACCATGGTTATATTGAGGAAACACTGAGGAAAACTCAATATTATACAAATGTCAGTTCTTCACAAATTGATCCATAGATTAAAGCTAATTCCAATCAAATGTTCAAAATTTTTCTTCACAGGATTTGGTAAATTTTCTAAAATTTATATAAAATAACATGGTCAAGAATAAGCAAGACAATCATAAACATGTGTTGATGATAGCCAGATCTGTTTCTACCTCTCATTTGAGCTTGAGATTGATCATTAGTTGCCTGCTAGCCTTTGCATAATATAATGTGCACTCAATATTAATAGTTCTATTTATATAGATAACATTTATATGGATATCTCAAATTCAGTGTGACCTAAGATGAAATCATCATAGCTACTTCAAGGCAGCTTCTTCTATTACGTTCTTTGAGTGCTGAATGGCCCAACCATCTTCCCCGACATCATAGTTAAAAATATTGAAGTCAGTTAATGCTCTTCCTTTTTGTCTCATAAATATCTACCCAGTCATTTAACCACTCTCCATCACTACCACCATTGCCTTGGTTCTGGCATTTGCTTTTGTTCAGACTATTTGAGATAATCTAGATATTCTTTGTCTGCTGTCTTCCTTTACCAAACCATCTTCCACAGAGTGATCATTCTAAATCTGATCATATCAAACTCTGATGAAAACTCCCATCACCTTCAGGATAAAACCCAAACTCCTTTAAGATTTGTCATCCATCATCTGCCCGTGTGTTTCATAATTCCATATGCATCTTTTGCTCCAACACAGTAGTTTCCCTACAGTTCTTCAAGCATGCCAAGCTGTTTTTCTGCTCTTCTACCTGGAATATCCTTCTTTTTCTTTTCTCCCATCTACTTGGTTAACTCAATTATATACTTCAAGAGAGAGATTAAGTGCCATTTTTCTGATTTCCCTGAACTTCTCTGATCCCATCCCACTCTCATATGTGTAAAATTGTCTTCCTCCAAAGCATTTATCATCTTGTTGCAATAATTGATTTTCTAGTCTGTTCCACTGTAAGATTGTGAATCTGTTTAGGATACAGAATACATCTTCTTTGTATTTGATTATTTATATTTTAGATGATTATAAAATGTTTGTCCACTCTTTGTGCTTCTCATAAAATGTCAACTCTGTAACATAATCCATGAATCCTTGTGTGTATGTGTATATTAGTCTGTTTTCATGCTGCTGATAAAGACATACTTGAAACTGGGCAATTTACAAAAGAAAGAGGTTTAACTGGATTTAAAGCTGCATGTGGCTGGGGAGGCCTCACATTCATGGTGGAAGGCAAGGAGGAGTAAGTAACTTCTTACATGGATGGCAGCAGGCAAAAAAAGAGAATTTGTGCCGAGAAACTCCCATTTTTATAACCAACAGATCTTGAGAGGCCGAGGTGGGCAGATCACGAGGTCAAGAGATTGAGACCATACTGGCCAACATGGTGAAACACGGTCTCTACTAAAAATACAAAAATTAGCCAGGTGTGGTGGTACGTGCCTGTGGTCCCAGCTACTCGGGAGGCTGAGTCAGAAGAATTGCTTGAACCCAGGAGGCAGAGGTTGCAGTGAGCTGAGATTGCGCCACTGCATTCAGCCTGGTGACAGAGCAAGACTCCGTCTCAAAAACAAAACAAAACAAAACAGCAACAACAAAATAAAACCCTCTGATCTTGTGAGACCCATTTACTATCACAAGAACAGCATGGGAAAGACCCGCTCCCACGATTCAATCATCTCCCACCAGGTTGCTCCCACAACACATGGGAATTATGGGAGCTAAAGATGAGATTTTGGGACAGGGAACCAAACCATATCAGTGTGTTTAAGTTCTCCCTGAAAGCAATTTTAGTTGTAAAAAGTTGCTCATTGGCTATGCTTATGGCTTAAAAGACATACCTAATCTGCAAATTTTATTTTTATTTCAGTTAAAAAATCTGGATCCATTTTTACTGTTTGATGAATTTAAAGGAGGTAGACCAGGAGGATTTCCTGATCATCCTCATCGAGGTTTTGAAACAGTAAGTACAATAATTTGACTGCAGAAGTGTGTATTTCGAAATATACCTCTTTCTTCTAATAGAAAATTCGATTTTAAAAGCAATAAGTAATAGGCTAAAATTCATTTGTAAGTTACAGGGTATTTTACATTAGATATACTCAAATGTAAATATTTACCATTTTTAGTATTCTTTGAAATTATGCCATCAAAAACATTCCTATTTGAGCAGTTAATAAATTGGCTTATTAAAATATTTTTGTAATTAAAATAATTTATTGGGAATAGAATAAACTATTTGTGATTAACATACTTTTATGTAGAAAACCTGTTTCTAATTATGCCACTACCCTGCAGTCTGGGCAACAGAGTGAGACCCTCTCTCAAAAAAAAAAAAAAAAAAAGGAAAAGAATAACCTTTTTCTACACAAGAATATTTAGATGTGTGTAACCTCCTGTAATATTATAAACTCCAAGAGACAATCCAAGAACTATATGAGTATTTATACTAAATTCTAAGGAATTATAGAATCAAGGGGCCTGAATTTAACAGCCTAAAAATTAGGATTCTAAGGACGTACATATACATTTACTAGTTTAATTGCAAGAGTTAGAGATTCTACTGAACACTTAATGTTCAGTTTTAGGTAGATACAGATAATATTGTGGCACTTTCAAAGATTCTGTTTTTTTTCTTTCTCTGGCTACAGTCAACAGGGAACTTTCAAAGATTCTTATTGTCCACACACATATATTCTGTGGAAGTTCAGGGATACTTACTTCCTAGTTACAAAGTTTAGCCATCTACTCATGAGAACAACCTGTATTCGTAGGGAAAAGACCAGGGCTTGTTAAAGTCTTAGTATGTTTGTTTGTAAAGCCAATTAGTGAATGAGTAAATATTTATTGAAGGCTGGTGACATGCAGGCGTTGGTGTAGGGTGATCTTTTGTATGTTAGGGTGTGTTATGTATTGGGAAGTGTGGGCAGAAGGCAGAGGGAGGGAGCTAAAATCGGTGAGGCATGATCCCTGCCTGCCTCCTATGCAGTCTAATTAAGGAGGTTAAAGATGTATGGGAAAGAGGCACCACCACAATGTAAAAGGAGAATGAACCAAGAAGTTTCTGGAAGTAGGATCAGGGTAGTTGGACTCTTTTCCCTTCCTCATTTAGCCATTCACCTTCCAGTTCCCTTCTCTGCTAACACATTGAAGGCACTATGGCTTGCTTTGCAGCAATAATGGAAGCCATTCCTTTCACCTACCCTACACTCGTGCTGGATTCTGACCCTGTTCCTGGAAGATGTCTCCACTCTGTGCTCTTGCTTGAGCTGCTTCTTGTCCACTCCATTCCCATAGCTCCACTTACCACCTTAGTAATCTTTCAAGGTCATTTCAGATATCACCATCTCCATCAAGTTTTACAAACAATCCCAAAAGGATGCACTTTCTCCTTCATTTTGTCCTCATCACATTATATTTTACCAGTCTCATGCACATGATGCCTTTTTAATGACCTTGATTGTATTCTATCTGTCTTGCATTAGAATTGAGGATTTCCTCAAGCTCCCCTTACATACCCAAGAGGACCATAAATTGCTTCAGCTGAGATCATTCTCTGTGTTCTCTATGTGGAGCTACTCAGTCACTACTGCTTGAATTTAATTGGATAATAAACGAAATGGTATTTGTTGAAGACAATGAATATATTAAATAAAATGAATGATTAAATATATTACTTTCATTTCCATTATGGAAAATGCTTTCTGTGTGTATGTGGGGGGGGAATGCTTTATAAATTATAAGGTACTCAATTTTAAGCAGCTCCCTGAAGGAGTGTAGCTGTAGAATATTGGTGTTTGGCTCTTTTGATTAAGAATTTTCCTTAAAACTATAACAGTAATTATTTCTGAGTTCATTTACTTGCTAAAATTTATTTTTAACCCCCAAATCAATACTTGTGGTGCTTTTGTGGTAATTCGTGGACATGTGTAGAGTGGCAAAAAATTTGAGCTGCCCAGTGCACACATTCCCAGCTGAGGTTGAATGAAGCAATGCCCTTTTTCTCTTGTTTCGCAAGAAAATGTCCTTTTCACAGTATATTTAGTGTCACTTTTTCCACATTTTTGTGCTTTATGTGAGTAATTTCACTGTTTAAATGGCTCACACGCACAATACACTAATGCTGTCTAGTGTTGCTAAGTGTAAGAAAGCTGAGATGTGGCTTACAGATAAACTTGATTCGGGTATGAGTTGTAGCACTGTTGGCCTAGAGTACAATGTTAGTTAATCAACAATATATGTTAAATAAGGTATCTTTAAAGAGAAATACACATAAAACAAAGTCATGTATTGACCAACTGAGCAAAATATTGTGACCAGAGGTTTGGAGGAACACAATCCTGTATTTATTCTAGGAGCAACGGCCTAGTATTCTCTAATTCAGTGATCATGGCAACTATATATGACATTTTTCTATAAAAATGATGAGAATAAACTCTATCAGTTTTCCCCAGGAGTGTAGGTAAGCCAGGGACTCAAGTGGCAAGCCATTATCTCTTAATGTGAGCTTTAAAAGCCTGAAATTTAAAGCCAGGCCCACTTGTTGTCTCTCATCACCTTCCTGGAGCATTTTCTAGATTATACAGGCTTGTAAATTTTGAAAATGCTGACTAGGGTAAAGAACAAATTTACCTGTGATATTAGTGCACCATCCAGAAATAGCTATTGTTTTTATTTTGATATATTTTCATTCAGTACTTTTTTTCTGGTGCTGTGCTATTTATGTTTTGCATCTTTTTGTTAACTTAGTATTATATCATAAGCATTTAATAATATTGTTTAAAAAACTAATTTTAATGCCCTCATTAAGCATCTGCCATGATGGTTGTACCAACTGATATAACCACAGTGATGTATACTGAAGGTTCCTGTTTGCCCGCAACATCACCAACAGAAATGTATTTATTTGATTTTTCTTACCTTTGCCATCTTAACAAGTGAAAAATAATGCTGTATGATAGTTTTAATTTATATTTCTCTTATTTGAGTGAGGTTGATTTTCTTTTCATTTTAAAACATTCATTCACCATATATATTTAATATTCTTGGCTTTTTTTTTTCCTGCTGGGTTGCTGGTATTATTTTTATTGTTTTATAGAAGCTCTTCACATATTAAGGAAGTCAGACCATTTTCAGTGACAGGAATTGCAATAGTGTTAAGAGGGATTGGGCTTGTTTTATATGCCTGCAGAGATAAACCTTTGAATACAAAGCACAGATACAAAATAGAAGGAAGAACTTTGTAACAGTTAGTTATGCAAAGATAGAATAACTAATATAAGCATGCACTGGGGCAATAAGGCATGCACTGAATGGTCACATAATTGATGCGTTATCAGGATCTAGGTCCTCAAAATAGTGATATGCTGGAGCTCACATTCATTTATTTTTTAATAAAAATGAAATTACACTTTACTAACACATGAGTATAAAATGGAACTAATATACATATTTTGAGTGCGCACTCACATTTATTTAAACTGCTCGTGATACATGATCAAAGAAATGTGGAGAAGATTATTCTATAAAATTCTCATTATCTCAGGTGTGACCCATGAACCAGCAGTGTTATTTGTAGTCTCAGTCTCTGCTTCAGAGCTCTGAATCAGAATCTACATTTCTACATCATCAAATGATTGACATACACATTAAAATGTGAGAAATGCCGGTCTAGATGATCTTCCAAATCAGCAATACGATTCTATGAGATAGCTAAGAGAGAGAACCTGATTTTACTGGGTTAATGGCTAATCAATTTTTAAACTTAATTCTTTGGTTTGAATAGCTATATATATTCTATTAAAAATTTGCCTGAAAATTGAGAAGGCATATTATAGGGAAGAGGTACAGCTAGTGATCACAAGACAAAAGGAGAAATGCATTCAGTTTTTCCTACCAGGAGTTTGTGCTCTGGGAAGGATTCTTTTTCAAAAGGCCTGAGTAGTAAAAGGTGAAATAATTTTGCAGTTACCCTGTTTCTGGTCAGGCCTGATATTGTGGTTTATTTAGGGCAACTTTATTATCAGAAACAAAGAATGATCTGAGACATGGGAAAGTCCTGTTAAAGTTTAGCTCGAAAAAGGAGGTACTTGTAGATGGGACACCGTTGATGAACCTCTCACTTACCCTGGGAAGAAACATGTCTTGTGCCTTTTGAAATCATCCTTAAATGATAGCCTCTAGACTTTCCTGGTTTTAGCACTGAAAGGCTCCTGTCCCCAGGAACCTCTCAGTCCTGAGCAAACTGAGATGATTAGTCACTCCTGTTTAATTAAATTTAAGAACTATTAGGAGGAGAGCATCCTGCTTGCTTTGCAAGGACCTTTTAGGGTGGTCTTGTCTACTGTGTTCTCAATTAGGCTGAGAAGTGTTTTTAAAATTTGTTTCACTACAAGCCTCAGCAAGTTCTTTGATTTTGTTCACGAGAACAAAACCACCCTGTTTCCAAGGGCTCGCCCATCAGAAAAGCCACGCTCATATTTACTGGTTGGTAGCCAACAGCGTTTGCATGCAATGCCCGAACAATACCCAAGAGAGGAAGGGAAAGGTCCTGGTGATTCACACCTAAAACTTATGACCGGATTCAAACCTCCCACCTCGCTCACAGCCTGTTTTTTTTTTTTTTTTTTTTTTTTTTTTTTTTTTTTTTTTTTTTTTTTCTAGCTTGCTGTGTACCACTTTTAAAAGCAAACCATACCATCAAGGCTAGGGAAAAAAGGCGTGATTAAATTAAACATCCATTTTGGAAAACCAGGAAAGGATACTTTTTCAATATCATAAAGACTCTCTGTTGTTCAGGGAGCATCTTTTGTTATATTTAACACTGAGATCTTAGCTATAGTCCTAGAAATATGAGAAAGAAGACAAGACTGTCTACCAGACCCATCACAGTTTAATATGGTTCTGGAAACTTTGAAGCTATTAATAAGTAAGAGTTACAGCTGTGGGAAAGGAGGAGAAAAA